TAATGAAGTCATATGCTACAGATTTATAAAATTTATTTTCTCTAAAGACTTTTAAAATATCCCTTATCCAAAATACCATTTAGAAAAGAAAGTGTGAGCAGAAGAAATAAAGAAAAACAAGGAAAAGAGAAAGGAATGAAGGATAGGAGGAGAAATAAACTATAGACAGTGGGAAGTTTGGTTAATCAGTATAATTGGGCAGTAATAATGTGATATAGTTTCCCCAGACATAGTGTTTTGTCTGAAAACCTTTTCTAGAACCTGTCTCAGATGCCTCAGTGAGTTTCATCAGTTAAGTTCAGTTGCTCAGTTGTGTCTGACTCTTTGTGACCACATGGACTGCAGCACGCCAGGCTTCCCTGTCCATCACCAACTCCCAGAACTTGCTCAAACTCAAGTCCATCGAGTCAATGATACCATCCAACCATCTCATCCTCTGTCGTCCCCTTCTTCTCCTGCCTTCAGTCTTTCTCAGCATCAGGGTCTTTTCTAGTGAGTCAGTTCTTCACATCAAGTGGCCAAAGTATTGGAACTTCAGCTTTAGCATCAATCCTTCCAATTATTATTCAGGACTAATTTCCTTTAGGATGGACTCGTTTGATCTCCTTGCCATCCAAGGAACTCTCAAGAGTCTCCTCCAACACCACAGTTCAAAAGCATCAATTCTTTGGTGTTTAGCTTTCTTTATAGTCCAACTCTCACATCTATACATGACTACTGGAAAAACCATAGCTTTGACTAGACAGACCTTTGTCAGCAAAGTAATGTCTCTGCTTTTTAATATGCTCTCTAAGTTGGTCATAGCTTTTCTTCCAAGGAGCAAGCATCTTTTAATTTCATGGCTGCAATCACCATCTGCAGTGATTTTTGGAGTCCAAGAAAATAAAGTCTGCCCTATTCCCATTGTTTCCCCATCTATTTGCCATGAAGTGATGGGATTGAATTCCCCTAGTGGCTGAGATGGTAAAGAATCTGCCTGCATTGCAGGAGACCCAGGTTCAGTGCCTGGGTTGGGAAGATTCCCTGGAGAAGGGAATGGCGACCCATTCCAGTATTCTTGCCTGGAGAATTCCATGGACAGAGGAACCTAGCGGTCCATGGGGTCACAAAAAGTTGGACACGACTGAGCGACTAGCACTTTGACTTTTAGTGAGCTTCATAAAAGAACACAAACTGATGCTCTTTGCATATATAGTGGTCCTTCAGTATCCTGGGGAGATTGGTTCCGGTCCCACCCCCCAGATACCAAATTTGCAGATGCTCAAGTCCTTTATATAAAATGGTGTAGTATTTGCAGGCAGCCTATGCACATCCTGCAGTACACTTTAAATCATCTCTAAATTAATTATACTTAATACAAATAAATGCTATGAAATTAATTGCCAGCGCCCAGCAAATTCAAGTTTTGCTTGGTGGATCTTGCTGGAATTTTTTTTTTTTTTTTGCAGTTGGTTGAATTCATGAATGTGAAACTCACAGATACAGATGACCAACTGTGTATCAGTGTTCTCAATTTAGGGTGGGGCTTTGTGAGGGTCCATTAGCAAGGTTTTTATGAATAGACTTCAGGAATCCATGAACTTTTGAAATTGCATAGAAGCATTTTTGTGACTGTCCATATGTGCCTTTGTTTTTCTTGGAAAAAGATGATTAGCTTTCATTGGATTCACAAACGTATTCAAAGATTCTTGTCTCAAAAAAATTAGGCTAAAGACCATTACTTTGGATCATTACTAGTTATTTTATATCATTTTCTTTTCTCAGAAAAAGGCAATACTTGAGAGTGAGGTGTGTGTGTGTAAGTGTATGTGTTGACAAAAAGGTTTAATGTTACCATATATTGGCACATTTAATTTACACATTTAATTTTTAGGCATGGCCTGATTCTCTACCACTTGTAACTAAGAAAATCAAAAATGCTTTTATTTTAGGCTTTAAGGGTTTTTATAGTCTGTGGAACAAATTTTTATCTAAAGGAAATGGGAGAGAATTTGGAGTCATTAGATATATTGGATATATTCAATTTATGAAAAAATGGATAATGTTTTGATATTTTGCTCCATCCAATTTTTAGCCCTGAAATAAATAAATAAATAAATATATATATACATATATATATATATATATCTGAACTAATGTAGTTGTTTTCTTCATTTCAGTTGCTTACAGCTTCATTTCAAATACAGGAAATCTGACCATCTAAATGCGTCTATATTTCTAGGGTATAGCAATTTTATTTATTGACAGATACAACTGACAGCTTATTGCTCACAAATCTGTGCATGAGAGTTGATCCTCTGCACCTATGTGTGCGTGTGTGCTTAGTCGCTTCAGTTGTGTTGACTCCTTGTGACCTCGTGGACTGTAGCCCAGGAGGCTCCTCTGTCCATGGGATTCTCCAGGCAAGAGTACTGGAGTGGGTTTCCATGCGCTTCTCCAGGGGATCTTCCTGACCCAGGGATTGAACCCAGCTCTCCCGCATTGCAGGTGGATCCTTTACTGTCTAAGTCACCAGGAAAGCCCCCTTTGCACCTGTTTCCTCTCAAAGAGAGGAGAATTTTCCAGACATCTTGCCTATTGTCTGGTAGACTGTAGATTAGGAACATTCTAGAAGGTCCATTTTATGACTTCTTCCTCCATGAATGGATCATAGTTGGCCTGTGAGTAGGAGTAATGATCCACTGATAGAATCAGCGCTCAAGAATTTAGCCAATTTAGGCTAAACAGAATTTAGCCTCTCTTAGAAGATCCTGGAAGTAGTGTAAATGTTATAATTTGGTATAAAACAGCAGGTATGGTGTATTGTCCCTTGACATAAAACAATATGGGAGTATGTGCTGAAGAAAAGCAAAGGAGAAAACTAAATGGCATGGTACTTTGGAAATACCTTTTATCTTTAAGCATATAACTTTATGTTTAAAATGCTTTATAAAATAACTTTTAATGTACCGTGGAAAAGAGTTTCTTTTCCAAGGCACTTTAGAATAGAAATCTGTATAGGAGTGGGTATTTTTTATGTCAGAAAATTCTCCTCCAAAAGAAGTATGCTGTGTTAACCTTTCAAGCTAGCCCTTAATCTTCAACATGCCTTTCAACAGGAACTTAATCATAATCAACAGCAGAGGGGAAGGTGTCTCCTCCATAGACACGGAAACAGAGCTTTAAAACGCCCTTTTGTCTGAGTCTTTAGGGCTCTGGGTCAAAGGAGAACTGCATGACCTTTTACTTCCCTCTTCTTGGATCTGAAAGCGTAATTCTCAAAAACTTCCCATCCACAGAAAACTCTGATGAGACTGAGACATCTCTCTCTCCCAATTCCTTCCGGGGAACAAAAAGAAATCTTGGCTTCTTGCCTTAATCAACAATTGTCATTTTCTTACATTTTTTAAATGTAAATTTAAAAAGCATTCTTCTTTGTGTAACCGGCATTTTGGACCATTCTTTGCAGATGAAAATCAAACCATGAGAAACACTGACTTAGAGGAGGTAAGGCCCTAGGAGACTGATGTACTTATACTTTAGAAATAAAACAGGTCACACAAGTCTAATAGAATCTTTTATTAATGGAGTAAGAAAGCAAACATCAAACTCATTTCTCATAGGGAAGAAGTTTCTTGATGAAAGATAAAATACCACAGCAGAAGGGGGAGGAGAAAGAACTGAGGTGACTAAGGGCTTTTTTCAGTTCATATTTACAGAAATGGTACAAAAGCTTGGTTCTTTCCTTTTTTAAGGTAACTACTTTGTATACCTTACAAAACTATCTCATTTCTATGGAACTGCCCATTTTCCTAACTATACTGAGAAGATAGAGTGAAAAAATACAATGTGACACCACATTGAGCAAAAGAAGTTATTCACTCACCAATGATGATAACTTGAGGTGTCACTTGAAAACTAATTTTTTTTCTCATGGACTTCCCTGTGGCTCAGATGGTAAAGAATCTGCCTGCAATGAGGGAGACCTAGGTTTGATCCCTGGGTCAGGAAGATCTCCTTGAGAAGGGAATGGCTACCCACTCTAATACTCTTGCCTGGAGAATTCCATGGACAGAGAGAGAAGCCTGGGGGGCTACAGTCCATGGGGTTGCAGGGTAGGACATCAGTGAGAGACTAACACTTTCACTTTTATTTCACTTTCTTTTCTCATCATGTCTCTCATGGACATTTGTTTTCAGGACTTCTTTTTATTATGTTAGATTGAACATACATAAGTGCTGATTTAGGGTAATTTTTTACTTGAAAACAGCAGTGTCTATTGACTCAGTGCAAATAGCTGAAATTCCTTAATTCAACTGAATTCAACCATGTTTGCCCATCATGTGCCTGGCAACTCACTCTATAGTGAAGGACACAATAATGGCAGATGGCAGATGCCATATCTCCTGGGTAATTTATTATGACCATTATATGTTAAATATCCATAATCAAGCTGATCACCTGTGGTCAGAAATAGACCCCTAATTTAGATAGCAGTTAATTCAACAAGTTAAAATATACCCCCAGCTGATTTTGGTAGCCTTTAATATAAAAACCATTTAGGCATTTTCTTAGCACTGTGATAACTTCAGGGAGGTAGCTTTTTTTTTTTAAACCTTCCATGTTTCATATAGGAAAGTGGCCATTGGATCCACATGAGACTTGCTTAAGATCATATTTAGCTTCCAATCTGTTGGCTACTGGCTTCCTCTACTAACCAACTTTCCCACCTTCTCACTCTATGACTCCCCTGTGAGGTATGATCATCAACACTTTAACTGACCCCAGCACCCGGGGAGTTACAGGGGGAGGGCAAAGTCTAATGGACTCTCTGGTAGGAAAATTCTACTAGAGGGTTTTCTGTAAATTTTCGCTCCGTATGTTATCCCTTCATATGTTGTTTCCTCCCCCATGCTCAGTAATTTTAGTTTGTGCTTTTTGTTTCTCTTTTTGTTTCTTTGGTTTGCTGGCTTTGTGTTCTTTTCTCTTTTTTTCCCTTTTCTTTTCCTTTTTTAATGCAGGAATCGGTCAAGGCGTTCCAGTGGTGGCGCTAATTGTGGAAGGAGGACCCAATGTGATCTCAATTGTCTTGGAATACCTTCGAGACACCCCTCCTGTGCCCGTTGTTGTCTGTGATGGGAGTGGACGGGCATCCGACATCCTGGCATTTGGGCATAAATATTCAGAAGAAGGCGGGTAGGTAATTTGCCAGGCCCTGGATTTAAACCATGAGTGCTAAGCTTGTATTCCAAGCTTGGAAGAGAGCGTGTAAGTTGATTGACGGTTTGGCATGGGAAGGAGGCTGGAAAGAGCAGGAGAGCATATTCTAAGTGTCCTATGAAGTGGGAAATACCACGAAAGCTACACTAGTCCATACCGATGATAAAGAGAACTAGGGGAATGGAGGGGCCACAGGACATGGGCTCCTTCCTCTTCATTTCCTTTTCTCTTTTCCTCCTTCCACTAAGGAATTGGGTTTTTTCCCCAATGACTTTTATTGGAATATAGTTGACTTATAATATGTTAGTTTAGGTGTACATCCCTTATAGATATATATATATATGTATGTATTCTTTTTCAGAGTCTCTGCATATGTAGGTTATTACAGAATACTGAGTAGAGTTCCTTGTGCTATACAGTAGGTCGGCAATTGTCATCTATACTATATATAGTCAGCATATATGTGTTAATCCCAATCTCCCAATTTATCACTCCCTCCTCGATAATTTCCCTTTGGTAATCATAAGTTTGATTTCAAGATTTGTGTTTTCCCTTTGGTGATCATACATTTGATTTTGAGATTTGTGAGTTGGTTTCTGTTTTGTAAATAGGTTCATTTGTATCATTTTTATTAGATTCCACATATAAGTGATGTCATATGATTTTCTCTGCCTGACTTACTTTACTTAGTACGATACTCTCTGGGTCCTTTCATATTGCTGCATGTGGCATTATTTCATTCTTTTTAATGACTGCATAATATTCCATTATATATGTATACCAAATCTTCTTTATCCATTCCTCTGTCAGTTGATACTTAGGTTGCTTCCATCTCTCAGCTGTTGGAGATAGTACTGCAATGAACATTAGAATGTGTGTGTCCTTTTTGAATTATGGTTCTTTCCAGATATATGCCCAGGACTGTGATTGCTGGATCATATGGTAGCTCTATTTTTAGTTTTTTAAGGAACCTCCATACTTTCTCCATAGTAGCTGCACCAATTTACATTACCATCAACAGTGTAGGAGGGTTCCCTTTTCTCCACACCCTCTCCAGCATTTATTGTTTATAGATTTTTAATGATGGGCATTCTGACAGGTGTGAGGTGATACCTTATTGCAGTTTCAAAGCTATGTTACAAAGCTATAGTTATTAAAACAGTATGTTACTAGCACAAAAAAAGAAATATAGCTCAGTGGAATAAGATGGAAAGTCCAGAGATAAACCCGTGCACCTATGGTCTAATTTGTGGCAAAGAAAGCAAGAAGATGCAATGCAGAAAAGACAATTTTTTCAATAAGTGGTGCTGGGAAAACTGGGAAGCCACTTGGAAAAGAATGAAATTAAAACACTCTCTAACACCATACACAAAAATAAACTCAAAGCGGATTAAAGACCTAAATGTAAGGATGGATACTATAATACTCTTAAAGGAAAACATAGGCAGAACACTCTCTGGCTTAAATTGCAATATCTTTTTTGATTCACCTCCTAGAGTAATTAAAATAAAAATAAACAAATGAGACCTAATTAAACTTAAAAACTTTTGCACAGCAAAGGAAACCATAAACAACATGAAAACATAACCTACAGAATGGGAGAAAATATTTGCAAACTATGCAACTGACAAGGGATTAATCTCTAAAATATACAAACATCTTGTGCAGCTCAAAATGTCAAAAAATTTAAAAATGGTCAAAAGATCTAAATTGACATTTCTCCAAAGAAGACACACAAATGGCCAAAAAGCACAGGAACCTGGTTTTTACACATGAAGCACAACTCACCTGGTCCATATAATGCAGGAGAAGGAAATGGCAACCCACTCCAGTGTTCTTACCTGGAGAATCCCAGGGATGGCGGAGCCCAGTAGGCTGCCATCTATGGGGTTGCACAGAGTTGGACACAACTGAAGCGACTTAGCAGCAGCAGCAGCAGCAACTTGAGAGAAGCTGGGATGTGCAACTCCCAGGCTTGACCTCCAAACACCAGCCTCCCCAAGCTGCTATGTGTGTACGAATACTAAATGTTTACAAAAGCGTTTGGTGCCCTCTCCCTTCATATCCCTCTAGACTGGCTTGGAAAGTGGACTGTCTGTAATGGTAACCACTCTGGTCCTGCATAAACTCATCTTGAATCCTTCACACACTTTCCTTGATCTAGCAGCTCCCTTTCACATGCTGCTTTCAACAGTCCAAAGCACCAACCCCTGGGAGGACTTCCTTGCATAGCCGTCCCCTGCATCTGAGATCCCCTCCTGCAGATGATTAGAAGTAATTCATCTGAAGGTGTGGATGACTTTAAGAAGAAGAACTCAGGGGAGTTACTGAAGCTTTAAATAAGGAATTTCCTAACCTAATCAGTTCTCCTAACATATGAAAGTAGTGGGAGAAAGAAACCCCAAAGGAATTGGGCATCTTCTATTCATCCCTTCCGTAAATATACGGTAAGTGTCTACTGGGTGCCATGCACTAAGATATGGAAAAAAAAAAAAAATCACAAGCTATTTCTACCCTCAAAGAGTTCATAGCAAGTCTTATAAATTGACGAGTGTATCATTACAATAATAGTACTGACAGGTGAGTTTGTCTACTCAGGCCACTCCCTCTGGCACCTCTCCCTCACCCAGCCTGACTTAAAATAGACTCAGCATGGCAGCTCCATGCCAGTTCTCCTCTCCCCGTTCCTCCTCTCGTTTTTGCCACCAGCCGAGCACGCCAGGTGAGGCATCAAGCAGCACGCTTCCCTTAGTTAGTACATGTACTAACTCTCAGTATGTGTCCCGAGGCATGCGGAAGGAAGAAAATCAGAGGTGCAGAGCTCTCGGCTTAACATTGTGAACACTGACAGTGACTTTAGGCCCTGTTAAAGCTTTTGATATTAAAAGAAAAAAGCACCAAGTTAGAGTTTGCTTTCTGGCAAATTCGATGAGGTTATCATTATCTTCTTTAACAGTAAGTATCAGTCCATTTTATAGTTAACAAACTAAACAGAGAATATTTGCCTACATGGTCCTGTGTCTGTTACCAATAAAAGTTGAAGATCCTCAGCTATGCTTGGTTGTTCAGTCGCTCCATCGTGCCCAGCTCTTTGTGACTCCTTGGATGGCAGCACGCCAGATTTCCCTATCCTTCACCATCTCCCATCCCAGAGCTTGCTCAAACTCATGTCCAACGATGCCTTGCTTTAATTAAAAACTTAGCCTTAGTTCTCATTAATTTAAATGTAACAATTTGTTATTAAAGAATGTATACAGCCTTTAGCTTTGGCACTGGTTTTTTTTTTTTTTTTGGTCTTAGTACTGGCATTATTGTGTTGTATCCTTACAAAGTAGATACAAGTTTGCACTCAGAATGCATGTTTCCTTTTGGGGAAACCTCAGCAGTCAGATTTCCAGGTTTATATACGAAGAAAATATGGACCTTTTGCTTGTTTTTTTGTCGTTGTCTTGGGTTGGGTACCTTGAAAAAAATGTTGAAATCTCTGATAAGCTGCTTTTCCTGATTCTGTTTTAATATAAGAGAAATATTACACATTTTGGAGCTGGGCATGGCTCTATATATTATTTCACCTAGGGGACAGACACACAGGGAAATGAAGTGCTTTCTCAAGGCCATACAGCCCGTGATCCCAGGCCAGTTCGATGTATTAGAAAAATTTACTGAAATGTGTTTTGTGGCGTGTGCTCTACTGTTTCCTCATATAGCACTTCAGTGATACTATCTTTTAAATATATAAGTGTACTTAAGCTGCCTTCAGCTTTCTCTTTTTGTTATAATTTACTTTTTTATTTTTCTGTGTATTCAAAAAAGATAAAATCAATGCATTTCTGGTTACAAACTGAAATCCAAGCAGATCAGCTCTACATCATATGGATTCTTTTCCTCCCCCCACCCAGATCATCATACCCCAACTCTAAAATTAAGAGTCAGAAATACCTTGCCCTATAATGAGTGTAACTAGTGTGAAGATAGAGAGTTAAGATATTTTTATATCTTGAAAATTATTAAAATTAAAACTTTAATAATTTTCAGAAACATTTTAAAATGATTATTAAGAACATAGAAGACTAAAAGGGAGCATTATATTTGCTAATCTAAATATGAGTGAGTGAAAGTTGCTCAGTCATGTCTGACGCTTTGCGACCCCATGAACCATACAGTCCATGAAATTCTCCAGGCCAGAACACTGGAGTGGGTATTCTTTCCCTTCTCCAGGGGATCTTCCCAACTCAGGGATCAAACTCAGGTCTCCTACATTGTGGGTGGGTTCTTTACCAGCTAAGCCACAAGGAATGCCCTAAATCTAAATATATATATATATATATATAAATGTTATGATAAAATATGCTCTGCTTCAGGAAAGCAGTTATAAATTTAACATGATAAAATGCATTCAGAATGTTTCTGTGTGCCCTCTGAATAGCTGCCAGAATTAATCATGTTTATTTGACTTGATAAGAAATTGTCCAACCACACATGTGCAGCCAATTTTAAAAATCATTAGTGTGCCTATTATATGCTAAAAAAAAAATGGCCCAGCTGGACTTTATTCATCAAGAAGCATTTCTTCTTTGATTTCCAACAAAGTCCAACAGAGTTGAGACATGTTTCACTATAGGTAAATATAAATGCATAGCTATGTTCATAGAAATAACCTATGCAAATAAAAGTGTGCAATTGTACATATCATATTGAATATAGGGAACATATATACTTGGTTTATGAAACCTGAATTGGGATTTGAAATAATTTATTTTTATTTTTCAGTTACTTTAGAAATGTAAATATGATTTTTAAAATTTTAACTTCATTTACAAGTTGTTAAATAATACAGGCCCAAGGACTATAAATTTTTATATTCAGCTCTAAAACTTTTCAATTTCATAATCCTAAAGATGTGAAGAAAGATTTACACACTTTGTATCTTAACTTTTGTGAACTTGATATTTTGACTTTAAATTCTCTGCTAATAA